CCCCCCCCCCCCCCCCCCCCCCCCCCCCCGCCCCCGAGCTTTTGCTGTTCCCTACATGCCACTTGCTCTCATCCTCCCTACCGCCCTCCCTACGTGTGATCGTGAACTCCCTAGGTGTCCCCCGCTCCCCTCCCCGAGCTGAGTCGAAAAGTCGTATTGCGAGTATACCCTGAGGTGTGATCCCAACCTCAGTGTAGTGAGGGCCATGCCATGCCATCCACCCTTGGTTTCTTTTCTCTTTTCCCTACATGCTGCTTACTCTCCCCCTCCCTACTCTGGGTACTCCCTCTCTACGTGTGACCACGATCTCCCTAGGTTCTCCTGGTGTAAACCTTGCCTGTAGTCAGTTCCAGCACAAATATGTGTCCTCTCTTGCGATTGCAGTCGATGGAGTACTATACCATTTTCTTTTGTCCGCACTTAATCGATTCAAATTTCGAAAACATGAAGGCAACCGTCAGGTTGCGGTTGCCCTCAGGCGCGTGGTAGCATCTATAAATTCTCAATTGCAATTGCAATTGCAATCAAAGAAGTGCATACAGCTGAGACTGTAGTTGCTTGGGTTCCTTTTTTTATATATATATATATGTTCTTCTCTCAATATTCCTCCCACTACATACCTAACTAGGAATGATACACACCTTGATCTACCCTCCAGCGGCAAGCTGCACTATCCCCTCAGGGCTGAACCTAACTAACCCCTGGCAACAGGTGGCATTCCCCGCCAACCAACCAGGAGGGACAAGCTGACTATCTCAGCCGGTGAACCCGCAGCGAGCCTGAGGAGGTGTGGGGGCTCGATTTGGGGACTTGGGGGAATTGAACCCACCACCTCCTGAATGCCCCTTTCGTGCTCTACCAACTGAGCTAGGCCGCTTGGCCTCTGCAGTTGCTTGGGTTCCGTTCCTTCTTTTTCTCTTTTCATTCAAATACAACTGTCTTCTCCTCATATGGGGGAGGACAATTTGTATTTTTAATTTTTTTTTCACCTTACCCTATTTTCTTCTCTGTTGCCTCACGCTAGTTACCCTTATCTATGCCCCTACCCACAAGCCCTACAAGGAAGCAGATAAGGAAGGGATCACATCTATTCAGGAGGAGCAACTACCCTACATACAGAAGACCAACCTTACATGTGCTAACCAGGCCTCGACTATCCTATAAGGTTATGGGTCTCTATGCCTACCTGACTCTACTCTGTGCGGGGAGCAGCACCCAACCTCCTAACGCCTGGCGTGGGCCAGAAAGATTGACGCAACTTCGACAACCAGCCAGGAGTGACAAGCCGACTTTCTCCGTCGGTGAACCCAAGGTACCCTTGTTTCCGTTATGTGGATTTATTTTCAGCGGGAAGGAGGACAAGGCTGGTCCCAAGCCCCGAAGCTGCCTTTTTTTTTTTTTTTTCCTTTTTTTTTAATAACCGTTCACTCCACCAACTAAGATCGGCCGTGCACCACCACCCCCTAGCATTAAGAAAGAGATTTCAATCTGCCAATCTGCGTAGCATCATGTTCAAGTTTGGAGGCAAACCCGAACATGTTCGCCCGAACGTGAACTAGCGCCCAAAACCCTCCGAACGCAAACATAATTTTTTTTTATATAAATACTACAAAAAAAAAAAACAAAGTCTCAGAAAAATCTGAAAAAAAAATATATGTCATGTAAAACAACAATACAAGCAACTTTTCCCTTGGGAGTCATGTTCAAATTCTTAGCCAAACGTGAGTTAAAAATCAAAAACCGAAGAAAAAAAAAAAGATCTGTTTTTCTTTTGCTTCTTTTTCGGGAAAAATATGTTCGCCCGAACGTGTTCGCGAGCTGTTTGCGCAAACACGGAGGGGTGCGAGCACATTCGCCGTGCTATGCAGCTGCCAATCTCCTTGCTATGTCTGGCCCTGGCAAGTGTCCTTTGGCACATCCGTTTATATGGGAACGATGCGGATAAGATCAGCCAGCAGGGCCCCTGAGCAAGGATCACAGACATAAATACTAAATAGAGAAATGGCCCAATTAATCATGAGTTCAAGTCCTTGCAGCAGAATCAGATGTTGGTTTTTTCCCCCTTTTTTTTTCCTTTGTGAAGGGGTCAACCTGTCCAGTATGATCCAGGCACTCCTCCGGCCTGGTTCATACGCGGTCGCCTTCTCATCATACAGGCCAGAAAATGGGTTAGGCCTCCCTCACATCGAAAACACACATGCTGTGTTCTTAGTCTTTTCTAGTGGTAGGTGGTTTTGTTTTGGTTGGCCGGCCGGTCTCTGGGCTTTCCTACGTCGTTCGCTATGTTGGTGCAGAAAAAGGATGTCATAGCTCCCGCAAAGGTAATCATAATTAAACTTATTAAAGCCTTGGTTGGGGGCGTAATTTTTTAAATAAGGGATAACACCTTGCCGTCATCGTGAAAAGGCGTGCGGTTACCTCAGTAGCGGGCATGAATCAGCGCTGATACTGGCGGTGGGGCCCACCGTGGGACACTACCAAATGCATTCTGGTCCTTTGCACTGTTTGTTGTCTCAGGCGCGATAGTGAAGGACACGCTGGAGTAGTCCGCAGCAGTGAGACGGACACAACTTATTTTATTTATGCCCTTGGTCAGAATCAGATGTGTTATGGGCTTAGCGCCGTCCCTTAGAGAGCGAAAAGAGGCGGGACAACCAAAAGGACTCCATCGTGAGATAACAGGTCCAAGCCACTCAATAAAAATGAATGAGAACGCGCAGAACATGACTGTTGAAATCACACGCAGCATATTGTACAGGGAATTACGTCGTCTCACGGTAGACCGACGAACTGATTGTGTTGTGGAAAAAGGGGGGTATGATATGCACCCAAATCAAGAGGCACCGATGACAGAACAAGAGGTTAAAAAAAAATGCATCCGAAATTCTGAATCCAATGGTCGCCCTACCCTAAACCCTATAGGCCCGGAGGCGGTAGCCAAGAAAATTGGCGGCATGCCTCGGAGACTTGCTTGTGTTGTGCTGTGGCGCCACATGTTGAAGACTATTCCGAGGCAAACGTCATCCAGTGTGAAAGAAAAAGGTGTGGTGATTAGGCTACGGGGGCCGGGCCTGCCCAGGCCACCTTGGTCTGCGCGAGTGGCCCCGCTGGGCAAGGTCCAGGCAAAGTCCCGGACAAAGTCCCCGAAAGAAGAAAAAAAAAAAAAAAAAACTTCAAAAAAAAGAAAAAAGAAAAAAAAAAACCGAAAAAAATAGTATGTTATGCCGAATAGCAAATCAAATGACTTTTGCCTTTAAGTTAGTGTCCCTCTGCAGTTTCTTTGCCGAAATGGGAAACAAATCCAGGCTTCGTGAGCCTGGGTGGCCCAGCTGGGCAAGCGGTCCTAGCCCAAGACAAGAAGAAAGCAGAAGACGCATCCTCAGTGAAAAAATAGAAGTGGCATCTCAAAGATTCTCTATCCGATTGTCACTTCATAGGGCCTAAGGTCATATCCGCGCAAACTGGCGTATGGGGCATGACGGGGGGGCGATCTTTGTTATGCTGTGGCGGCACCGGATGTTACGTGCGTGCCTGCCAGCCTTGCAGCAACCTGTGAGTTGTAGAAGATTGGCGTAGTAATAACGCGGTGCCGAGGTTAGACCACCAGTACTTATAAGACCCTGTCTTTGCCGAGCGAGCCGAGAAACACCCTGCCCGCAATGCACGGCAAAACAAACAAACAAACAAATCGGCGCGTTATGCGTTATCTTTTTGGACTGTCGCCGCCAGCCATGTACCTCCTCTGGTAGCCCGGGGCCCGGAGGTCGCTGAGCATGCACGACAGCGTCGGAGAACAAAAATGGCTGGGAAACAGCGTCGGAGAACAAAAATGGCTGGGAAACGCACTGGTGGTTCGTTGGACTGGCGCCACTGCAAATCTGAAGTTTTCCAATGCAGTGGTAGGCCGCCGAAAGCTACCGTCTTCACCAGAATAGACCGCCCGCCGCCGGGTCATTATCACTGTATCTGGACCGCAACTTGGCCCAATTGCAGCTATATAATGACCGGGCTCTCTATTCGGCTGAAGCTGGTAGCCTTTTGGTCCCTTTCTATTGTGGGGGCTTCTGTCTGCTTCCCTTGTCCGCGGGGAAGAAGTCTCAGGGACAAAGACATCGTACATCGGCAAGTCTGAGGGCAGCATACTCACACCAGGCCCTCAAAATCGCACATCGCAAAATCAGTGGCCAGATTGAGTTCTTGTACGGAGGACTCGATCTAGCCGTTTATTTCGCGATTTTGTGATTTTTCTGAGGGCCTAGTGTGAGTATGTATGCTCTAGAGGAATAACAGCACATTTCTCACTCTTAAGTATTCAGAACTCAACCATGAATCTCTCACTCAAGATATCCAATACGCATGTCCGCCATCGATTCACGTGTCCGCTGCTGCTGCCCCGGCTGCCCTACGTTTCTGCTGACACAACCCAGCCCTCCCTCCATCAGGCGGTTTGCCCACTCGAGCACGCCTTGTTCGCAGCTTCGAAGCGTTGCGGAGTGTAACACAGGATGTTTTGATTACGACTGTTTTATAGATCTTTCCTTCCTGGAAAAAAAAAAAAGAAAAAAAAAGATCTTCCCTGTGTGTTTTGGTCGAGTGTTGGGAATATTTATTATATTTTGATTACTGCTGTTTTATAGATGTGCTGACCACTCGATCCGCTCTCGCACAAAACACAAACGGGGGTGATCAAACTATGATAAATTTGGGAATTCCTGATCTGATTTCTACGTTGTCATTTCTCGTCGTCCGGGGCCCTGGGCTACCAGCCGAATGGAGTGAGATATTTCGGAATTACCTTGGGCCCTGGGGTACCAGCCGTGCGGCCCGGGTCGCCCAAAGCTGGCACAGGACCTTGCGGGGACGACCGGCCGGGCAACTGGGCCGGGCGGGGTCCGGGCCCATATCCCACAAAAAAGAAAAAGAAAAAAAGAAAAAAAGGCCTTCAAATTAAAAAAATAAATAAATGTCGTTGTGCAGAACAGCAAATCAAAGAACTTTTGGCCAAGGTTCTCCACAGAATTAGAAAAATAATAAAAATAAACTTAATAAAGTAAGGAAAATTATTTCACGAATTCACACCCTTGGAAGGCCCTTCAACCCCTTTCAAGTCCCTCTGAGGCGATTACTCCTCCTCCCCCTCCCCTTGCCAACCCTCCAAAACTGACATGAAGTGTCATGAACCAAAAATAAATATAAGACCGCATTTGGGTCTCTCGAAGGGCGCAAAACAGGCACATCATCAGGGAGAAAAAAAAAAAAAAAAAAAAGTTTAGACTTTTTTTTTTTTTACTCACCCAGCCAGGTGACCCGGGGGCGGGAGGGTCCCGGTCGCACTGGCCCGACTGCCCGGCCGGATCTGGTAGCCCAGCTTGGGCCGGTTAGATGGAGGATGAGGCCATCGCCCTTTTTTTATTTTATTTTTTTCTTCAATTAAAAGGAAACGCCCGCATAAGGTTGGTATCCACATCGGCACGACAACACAGAAAAATTCCAAATTCCTGAGAATAAAATCATTAAAATGTGAGGACTTTAGTCCTTCGGGACATCCATTAAAATTGGAACGATACAGAAAAAAAAAAAATGGCCCCTGCG